GTGCACATGTATAATTACTGTATCTACAAGTTTTATGTTTAGCTTTTTAGGACAAATGTTACCTGGTGAATTATACAATCAATATGCCCAAGTTTTATTGCCTTAAAAATACTGCCACCTTGGATTTAAGTTTTAAAACAAGCTTTATTTTAATGCTAACCATTGCAGAAATACTTTCTGTAATTATATTTAAATTATTTTGACCAATCTACATTAAACTTAAGACTCAGGCACTATGTTCAAAAGTTCTATCATATAAAAGTTCTCATTGACACCACAAACAAATATGCCTTATAGGACAGTGTTATTTATTATGTCTGTGCAACAGAAAATACCACAAAAAATTATAATCTTCAAGCAACCTGTCTGATAAATTCTCAGCCATATTTTCAATGTGCCAACTAACAGCATTTCTGTTTAGCTTTCCACTTGAAACTTAAGAATACACGTGTTGTTATTTCACTCAATAGATGTTCTTTTGTAAATGTGTATCAGTAAACCTAATGCCTGGCAATCTTTTTCCTCAATATAGCTACATTTTACAATAGGATTGCTTTTTTTTTCCGCTTTCCAAAGTAAACTCAGTAGAAATTTTGCTCCTTTTCTTGAATTCAGTTTTTCATTACATACCTTGTCTGTGCACTGGTCATAGTTTCTATTATATTTTATTGCATAAAGTGTTTTTAAGTTGTAGTCATGCCAGGCACAGGGGCACATACCTATAATCCCAGCAGCTCAGGAGGCTGAGGCAGGAGGATCTCGAGTTCAAAGCCAGCCTTAGAAACAGTAAGGTGCTAAGCAACTCAGTGAGACCCTATCTCTAAATAAAATACAAAATAGGGCTGGGGATGTGGCTCAGTGGTCTAGTGCCCCTGAGTACAAACCTTAGTACCCCCCCAAAAAAAAAAGTTGTAATCATTTGATGCAATTTGTTTGTATATTAAACATACAAGAATTTCTTCTCACGGGCTGGGGATGTGGCTCAAGCGGTAGTGCGCTCGCCTGGCATGCATGCAGCCTGGGTTCGATCCTCAGCACCACATACAAAGATGTTGTGTCCGCCAAAAACTAAAAAATAAATATTAAAAAATTCTCTCTCTCTCTAAAAAAATGTTTAAAAAAAGAATTTCTTCTACTTCTATCACAAAGAAATCTGTTCTTTTCCATTTTCTTTAGAGATGTGGGTGTCATGATATGTTATTTGTCTCTTATATCTGCTATAAAAATAATAACAACATACAGAAATGATAAAAAATGGGCAACCTGACACATAGACTATGAGAGAAAATTGTATGGACTACTGCAAACTGGAGTATACATCCAATGTCTAAAGGTGGCAACTGCTACTTAACTACAAATGATTTTTGCTTACTATTTCCAGATTTTTCAATGTTATTCAAGAGAAACCAGAAAACCTGACTTTTATGTTAAATTTAATGTTCATCCATGGAAACTTTATTAGTCATTGTGATTGGCATGTTTGTTTCCTCTTTTCAGGGTTCCAAATTTTTATTTAAATTTTAAAAGCTTTATTATACTAGAACACAGAACACTTCCAATTATTTTTTTGGAAAGAAAAAGCACAAAACTTTAAAACAACCAAAACTTTAAAAAACTAAAATTAAGTGAATTTCTTTTTTGTGAACAGGATAGAGGAAATTAGACTATCTGGCTAAATAATTAGGTAGATTTATATTAGGTTCAATGATTGTTCCCAAAAAAAAAACCCAAAACATCAATTAATGGGTTGAAGTTAACCTGAAAATTAGTCTGTGCTGCCATGAGGGTTCTGGCCTCAGTTTTACCCCATTTATCAAGTTAGATTAGGAGTCAGCAACTATTACCTGTAGTCCAGCTGTTTAGTTTTATAAGTTTTTTTTTTTAGTTTTATATATTTTTTTTAGTTTTATAAGTTTCACTGGTGGATCCAGACATGGTGGCATATGCCTATAGTCAGAGCTATTCAGGAAGCTAAGGTGGGAGGATTACTTGAGCCTAGGGAGTCAAGACCAGCCTGGGTAATAGAGCAAGACCTCCTCTCAAAACAAAAGTGTTTTTGGAACATAGTCACATGTTTCACTTGTTTCGTCTATGGCTACTGTAAAAGCAATGGCAAAGTTGACTAGCTGTGACAGAAACTATGTACTCCACAAACCTAAAACATATTCTATCTTGTCATTTAAGAAGTTTGTGGATCCCTGAGGTAGATGAAGACAGGTGGCATGACTATCAAACCTGAAGATGACACAAACGAGAATGAATTGTTAATATACTGCATGATAATTGAAATTCACAAAAATCAGAACATCTAAAAAAACAGGCTATAACAATCAGACTGATATTTAGTAGGTGGGGGCTGGGGATCTACCTCAGTTGGTAGAGTGCTTGCCTTGCATGCACAGGCCCTGGGTTCAATCACCAGCACCACAAAAAAAAAAAAAAAAAAAAAAGAATGGCTACTGGGTACTTACTCAACCATAAAAGTAAAGGATGTGGAATTCAGGCATTAAGAGCAACTGGTGTTATAAAAATATTGTTTTGTAAGTCTAGTAAAATAACCACATGATGTGGCTGCCAGAAAAGATCCAATTTTTCTTTTCTTTTCTATTTTTGGTATTGGGGATTGAATCCAGGATTTCATGCATGCTAAGCACATACTCTACCTCTGAGCTACACCCACAGTCCCAGAAAAGAGCCAATTTAAATTTTGTCGACATTAAAAGAAATATTGGATCTAGAATAGTGCTGTCCAGTAGAAATCCCTGTTAAACGGAAATGTTGTCTACCTGTGCTGTCCAATAAGGTAACCATAGCTATAAGTGGCTATTGAGACTTGATATGTGGCTCTTGTGGTTAAGGGACCAAACTTTAAATTTTATTTAAATAGCTACATGTGTCTGCTTGCTACCATATTGGACAGTACAAGTTTAGAACATTTAGAACATGAAAAGTATATGTTATTGCTTAGCCACATCGGAATATTGTGTTCAGTTCAGTTACCACATTTATCCAGGAAGTAACTACATCATGAACAATGTTAAAATGAACTGAGGAAGAGCTGACAAATTAAAGATTTAGATGTTGCCATGCAGTAATCCTGGGATGTTTTACTACTAAGCAACATCCCCAGCCTTTTTATTTATTTCTTATCTTGAGATTGGGTCTTGCTAAGTGATATAGGTCCTCACTATGTTGCTAAGGCTGGCTTCAAACTTGTGACCCTCCTGCCTCAGTCTTCTGAGTCACTGGGATTATAGGCATGTGCCACCATGCATGGCCCTGATTATTTTTTAGTTACAGCTTTATTGAGGTATAATTCAGACACCATAGACTTTATCCATTTAAAGTACACAATTCAATGGTTTTTAGTATACTCTCAGAGTTGTGCAAGTATTAATCAAATTTATAACACTTTCATCATCTACAGCCCTGGATAATCACTCGTCTTTTTTCTGCCTATAAATCTGCCTATTTGGTACATATCATATAAAATAAATCTTACAATATGCATTTTTTGTGTGTACTGGTTTTTCACTTAACATGCTTTATAGTATGGGTATACCACATTTTATTTATCCATTAATCAGTTGATAGATATGTGCGTTGTTTCCACATTTGCCTATTATAAATGAAGCTGCTGTGAACATTGGTATACAATTTTTTTGTGGATCTATGCTTAGAATTTTCTTGGTTATAAACTTAGGAGTGGAATTTCTAGATACTATAGTTTGGATGTGCTTTGCTCCCCAAAGGTTCACGTGTTGGAGGCTCAGTCCCCCGAGTGGCAGTGTTGGCATGGTGCGGAACCTTTAAGCAGTAGGGTCTAGTGAGAGATCCTTAGGTGATTGGGGGTGCTGTCCTCTTAAAGGAATACTGGCGTTCTGGAGTAAGTTCTCACAACAGTGAGTTGTTATAAATCCGGAGCCAGAAGCTTAGTTTGTCTTTGGCTTCCAGTATTAAAATGTGACCACTTGCTCCCACACACACACTCCCACTGTTGCCATCACCCATGATATGATAAAGTCAAGAAGGCCATCACTAGAACTGAAGCAATGCCAGTTGCATGACCTTGAACTTTCAAACTATGTGCTACATAAGTAGCATGCCACAGATATTTTATTATAATGACAAAAAGCTGACTGATATACTGGGTCATATGATAACTCTGTTTAACTTATTGAATAAATAACACAGTTTTTCAAAGAAGTTGCACCATCTTACATTCCCACCAACAGTATATGAGGATTACAATTCTCCACATTCTTGTCAATGTTTGCCATTATTTTTATTCTTATTTTTTTGGATGGGGAATTGAACCCAGGGGTGCTTAACCACTGAGCTACATCCCCAACCCTTTTTATTTTATTTTATTTTTTTGAGACAGTGTCTTGCTAAGTTGCTTAGGGCCTTGCTAAGTTGCTGAGGCTGGCTTTGAACTTGTGATCCTCCTGTCTCAGCCTCCTGAGCCGCTGGAATTACAGGCAGATGCTACCATACCTGGCTGCCATTATCTTTTCTATTATAGCTAACCTAGTAGATGTGAAATGTCTTCTCATTGTGGTTGATTTGCATTTACCTGATGGCTAATGATGTTGAGCATCTTTTCAAGTGCTTATTCCACAGTGATTCTTAAGACATTAAAGTTTGAGAATCACTAAAATGTCTATACAAACTTCAAGGTCCCTTTTGACATTAATAATCCCATGAAGATAAACACAGTGAAGCATATAACTTGTAAATATGTATCCATCCATCCTTCCTGTTCTACAGGACTGGCCTGCATTTTATTCTTTTTATTTTATATTAAAATATTAATATGACACTTTAAAATTAACTTTATTATTGAATAAAGAAGTAGTACCATCTTCTAAACTGTTCACCACAATGATAAATACTGTGCTCTCAAAATATGAGTATATGCCTGTATATATTCAGTATATGTTAATGAAAACCACAGAAAAGGTTAAACTTTAGAAAAAGGAAAATCAATTCTTCTGTACCTTTCATGATCCATCAGCAGTTTAACAATATTCAGACAGAAGTCTAAAGACATATCAAAATGTAGTATTTCCATGACAGCTAACAAAGTGAAAAAAATACAATCATCATATCAGTTTCATTTTTTTAAGAAAACTTAGCTATTTTCATCACCTTTCCTCTAGTCAAAATTTACATACTAAATGTTTGCTATATACCATATTTTGCCTAGCAATTTATAAAAATCTTTTTTAAGTACTAATATCCAAAGCTAGAAAGAAGGTAGTGTCATAGGCAAAGGAACCTGGTACCATCCTTTTGAAAAGCAATTTGGCAATACTACATGCTAAAAACACCACAGTTAAGACCTTGGAATCTGAAGTCAGGTGAACCTAAATTTGATATCACTTGCCACCTGTATGACCATAAGCAAAGTACTCAACTTTTTGCACCTTAGATTTGTCACCTGTGAAATGGAGAATATATTACCAATTTCTTAGTTTTTTGAGAAGACTATATAAGACAATGTATTGAAATTATATGTACCTAGCACTTAATAAACATTACACTCAATAAATGGCAGTTATTATTACTGTTATTCACATTACTTCAGAAATTGCACTACTGAAAAGTCATCTGAAATAAATATGGGAAAAGGTTTTTGAACAAAAATGTTAAAATCAGTATATATTATTATTTTTTAATATTTATTTTTTAGTTGTAGTTGGACATAATACCTTATTTTACCTATTTATTTTTATGTGGTGCTGAGGATCGAACTCAGGGTCTTGCACATGCAAGGTGAGCGCTCTACTGCTGACCCACAACCCCAGCCCCAAAATCAGTGTATACCATAATAATAGAAAGAAAAAATAACCCAAATATGCACTATACGATAGCCTTAAACTGTTATGCAACCATTAATATTGCTGAATATAAGATAACATGGGAAATTGAATATGCACTGATTAAAAAATGTTTCTAAGACTAGTATGTGAAAAATTGGAAAACAAGGTTATATGTACTATATGATTATAATTCTGTAAAACACACAAGAAAAAAAACTGAAAATGCTAAGTGACTGTGTTTAGATTCAATGTGTATTCTCTGTGCCAGGCACTGTCTTGCTGCTGTAAACCCAGAAAACAACACACAAAAATCACTGTTCTTAGAAAGCTTATATTCTAGATGGTAGAACTATGGAAATTTTAGTATCTTCCCAAATCTTCTTTGATGAGCATGTGATATCCTTTCATAATAAAAAAACTGTATATTTTTAAATTTTCACTTTTTTTCTATAAAAAAATATCAGTAGCCTGGCATGGTAGCACATGACTATAATCCAAGAGGCTTGCAAAGTGGAGGAAAGAGGATTATAAATTCAAGACCAGCCTGGGCAATTGATCAAGATCCTGTCTCACATGAAAAATAAAAGGGCTGGGGATATAGCTCAGTGATAGTGCACATTTGGGTTCAATCCCCAGTTCTATATTTTAAAAAAAACAGTGAAATTCTAATGACAGTAATTATGTTAACCATTGTAAGAGTACAGAACTTTTACTAGTAAAGAAATGAAGCGACTAGGGCTGGGGATGTGATAGAGCACTAGGGTGTGCCACGCCCTGGGTTCAGTCCTCACTGGGTGTAACACCTACCACAAAATACTATAAAATGCAAATTTCATAATTATCTCAATACATAAAAATAAAAATTAATTTTATTATTTTAAAATATTAAAAACTTGGATTCAGGGAAGTCTCCTAATTTTTAAAAAATATTTATCTTCTAGTTGTAGTTGAACACAATACCTCTATTTTATTTATTTATTCTTATGTGGTGTTGAGGATCGAACCCAGGGCCTCGCATGTGTGAGGTAAGTGTTCTACTGCTGAACCACAACCCCAGCCCTCCTAATTTCTAATCAAACTTTGTCACTCTAACAGTCTCCAAATTGAGTTAAGTAAAAACAATCAAGGAAAAGAATAATTTCACTTTACCTTGCTTTGTTTTGGATTTTTTTTTCTTAGACAGGTATATGAGAAGCAGACCTTAAAGTGAAATTATTCTTGGGGCTGAGGATTCAGCTCAGTGACAGAGCACTTGCCTAGCACGTGAAAGGCCCTTGGTTCAGTCCCTGGCCCTGAAGAAAAAGGTAATCTTTTTTTGTGGTGGTAGACAACTTCAGAAGGTTTGGGCAGCTATAATTCTCTGCTGGACTAAAAGAAAACTGATTGCTTTTATTCAGCTTTTTTTTAAAACCACCTTTTAAATTTGCACCTATTCTTTATTCTGATTCTTCCTGGTTGGTAATCTCTTTCCTATGTGATCAGTTTCTTTCTCAGCCACCACCAAATTATATCTATTGTTAGTATACTACAAAAGATCTTGTCTTCAACAAATTGGTGATATTTCAAAATTGTGTACTCTTTATACACAGAGATGATACCTTCAAGGAGTTCTTCATTAGGTGTTTCGCCTTTCAAGAGGATTCTCATCTTTAAGAAAAGCCCAGCTGGATTTAAATGTGCCTATTTTAGACAAAGAAACCACAATGATATTATAACTCTGGAATGTAAAAGACAATTTTCAAGTAATTACCTGCTTTATTCAACCACTGAATGATGACTCAGGATCAAAGGAATTCAAAATCATAAAAATCATATAATAACATCTGGTCTATTCCTGAGGATATTTTCTGATATTTTATTCAATCTAAACAAAATAACATGAGGAAAAGAATATGCAAACATTTCCATAGAGTGACAGATATTTAGTGGCAAGGTCAATTCTTAAACTGTGTGAATCATAGATAATATTCTTCATAAGCAAAACCTCAAACATCACTTAGATTTATTTTCTTTTGAGACTTTAATAAGTAAAGCTCTTTGTAAACAATGTTAGAATGAAATGAAAAAAAATATTGTCTTTTCTACAAGATATATGTGTGTTATTTACCATTAGTAACAATTTTATCTGAATGATGTTTCCAAGTCACTGTTATCTGGCCCCAATTACTCTGTGATCTCTTTCTTGGTTCTACATTTATCTGACAGGGTACATCTTTACACAACAGGCTAAGATTAAAAGTGCAGCTTAGGCCCATAGAAAAGAACCTTCCTCTCTATAATGCCAAGTAGCCTCTACAGAAACATTGTATTCATTGGATCCATACTCTGCAAATAATTGCAGTTATTCATACATTAAGAATGAATGGGGGATGGGGCTGGGGTTGTGGCTCAGCAGTAGAGCATTCGCCTAGCTTGTGCAAGGCGCTGGGTTAGAATCTCAGTACCACGAAAGAAAGAAAGGAAGGAAGGAAGGAAGGAAGGTAGGTATTGTGTCCAACTACAACTAAGAAAAAAATAAAAAAAGAAAGAATAAACGGGGGTGGGGGGGCTGCTGCTGGTGTTGTGGCTCAGTGGTAGAGCACTTGCCTAGCAAGTGTGAGGCACTGGGTTCAGTTCTCAGCACTGCATATAAATTAATAAATAAAATAAAGGGCCATCAACAACTAAAAAAATATTTTAAAAAAGAATGAATAGGAGGAACCAGGAATGGTGACACACACCTGTAATCCCAGCAACTAGGGAGGCTGCTGCAGTAGGATCTCAAGTTCAAAGCTAGCCTCAGCAACTTAGCAAGGCCCTGTGCAGCTTAGTGAGACCCTGTCTCAAATTTTAAAAAGGGTGAGGGATGGGGATGCAGCTCAGTGGTTAAGCACCCCTCATTTGAGGTTCAATCCTCATTTCCAAAAAAAAAAAAAAGTATGAATAGGAAGGTAGGGAAAGTAAGCACTGATAATAAAAGGGTTGACAAATATAGATGACATCAATACAAAGAATAAACTAAGCCTGACAATTTCAACTATAACATTACCATTGTGTTGGTGAGTTTTCTAATACTGTAACAAAATACTTGAGATAATCAACTTAAAAAGAGGAAAGGTTTATTTTGGCTCACAGTTTTAGAGGTTTCATTCCATGGTTGGTTGACCCCATTGTTTTTGGGCCTGGGGAGCATCATGGTGGGAGCACATGGTGGAAAAAAAAAAAAAAAAAAAGCCTGTTCACCTCACTGCCAGGATACAAAGAGAGAGAAAAAGAAGGGAAAAGAGACCCCAACTCCACACTCCCCTTTAAAGGCATACCCCCAAAGACCTGAAACCTCCCACTAGGCCCCACCTCTTAAAGGTTCCACCATCTCCCAATACTGTCATAAACTGGGGATTAAGCTATTAACATATGGATATTTGGTGAACACTCATCCTAAGAATAGCAATAGCTTTTCCTATAGGCACATCAGAATGTATACTGGGTTCAAATTCATTTTACCTTCAGAGATGGATAAGTCTTATAGATTTGGCAGGCTGTTTTCCTTAAGTATGCCATATGCACACAATTTATTCCACTTTTCTCTGATTTTATTACTAAAAAATCTCCAAAAAAATGGACACTATGCTTTATTGTATCATCATGTTTTTGTTTCTATAAACATCTGCACTGTGTTGTCCATATTTCTATCTCCTTAAACTATACTTTCAGAAGTCATCAATGATTGTCTGTTAAATCTATCAGCTCTCTCCCTACTATTGATATCTTGTCTTCTCTGTAACTTTTATCACCAATGTTTCTCAGTCTTCTTCCTTAGATTTTTGTTTGCTTTTCAATAACCAGTAGTTATTGAGAAACAGGCTCCAGATACAACAAACATAACAGGGTAATTATTGGGAATCCTGTTTTGCAAATGATAACTTCAATAGCTTACCCACAGTCACGTGATAAGTGATAGAGCTGAAATTTGAATTTGAATCTGTTAGACACAAAAGACACTTAATCTATCTTGGGTCTGCATATTACCTGAAAGCCCTAAAAATAATATAATTTTTTTAGTATAAAGCATATCATATACATACACATACCTAAATATATAAAACATATATGTATAGTTTATAGAATACTATAGTTTGAATCTGAAAATGTCCCCCAAAGGTCCATATGTTAAAAGGCTTGGTCTTCAGCCTACAGTACTATTGAGAAGTGATGAAATGAAGAGATGGGACCTAGTTGGAAGAAGTTAGATCACTGGAGACATACCAATAAAGGAAATATTGGGAACCTGGCTACTTCCTCTTTCTCTCTTTCCTTGTTCTTTGGGCAACGTAAGGTGAATAGACCTCCTTGTCACACATTCCTGCCATGATGTACTACCATTCTGCAGGCCCCAAAATAATAGGCCACTTAACCATGGATTGAAACCTCTAAAAATGTCAGCCAAAATAAATCTTTCATCTTTTTAAGTTGATTTGTCTCAGGTATTATATCAATAATAGGATGCTGACTGACAACAATTTGCATTATGAAAAGTTTCCATTTCAACATAAATTTAGTATCTGTTTAATGAGGTCATAAGTAAGCAAACTGGTATTTTTAAAATTTGTTCTAATTAGTTATACGTGACAGTAGAACACATTTTGACACATCATACATAAATGGAGTATAAACTTCTCATTCTTCTGGTTGCACGTGGGCAAAATGTGTTTTAATAGGTATTCTAAGTAATACTTTTTACATGCTAAAGTTTAAGAATAATTATTTTGTGGTTTTCTGTTGTATGGATATATCACAATTTATTTGCCCATTTTGCCTTGGCCATTTGTATTGTTTCCAACCCAACTGATAATATGAAGTAGCATGGTATTAGCATTCAGTATATTTCTCCACAAAGCCTAGAGTTTCCTTTAAAGTATATACCCATGAGTAAAATTGTTGGTTGATTGGGTATGACCAAGTTCAACTTTATCAAGTAATATCAAACTGTTACTCACAGTGGTTGCTCAAGTCTCAACAACAACAACAAAAAACAGGAATAAAGAGAAATTCCTCAGGGCTGGGGCTGTAGCTCAGTGGTAGAGCACTTGCCTCACATGTGTGAGGCACTGGGGATGATCCTCAGCACCACATAAAAATAAATAGAGATATTGTGTGTCCATCTACAACTAAAAAAATTTTTTAAAAAGAGGAATTCCTCAACCTAATAAAGGGCATCTATTAAAAAAACCCACATCTAACACAACACTTAGTAGTTAAATAATGAAAGCTCTACCCCTGACACCAGAAACCAGAAAGGTATATCTGCTCTTGCTACTTCTATTCAACAGTTTAATAGATATTCTTGCCAGGGAAATTAAGAAAAAGAAGGCAAAAAGTTTGGAAAGAAAGAAGTAAAATGATCTCTATTTGTAGATGATTCGATTCCTGTATATACAAAACCTAAAAAATCCAATAAAAAATTATTAATGCTAAAAAAAGTTTAACAAAGTTGCAACAAATAACATCAATTCTTGAAAAGTCAGCTGTATTGCTATATACTAGCAACAATCCAAAAATGAGCTTAAGAAAATAAATTAATTCCATTTAAAGTATCAGAAAGAATAAAATATATAGCAATAAAGAAAATAAAGGGCAGAAATTATGCATTGAAAACTACAAGATATTATTGAAAGAAATTAAAACCTATGTAAATTTTCCTAGATTTGAAGAATTAATATTATTAAGATGGCTATAATCCCTAAATTGATCTTCAGGTTCAACAGAAGCCCATTCCAATTCCAAGATGGCTTCTTTACATAAAACAACAAGCTGACCTCAAAATATGAAAACGCAAGAGATCCAGAAGAGCTAGAACAATTCTGAAAAATAAAAAATAACAATTCTGAAAAATAACAATTCTGAAAGTTGGGCTGTGGGTATAGCTCAGTTGGTAGAGTGCTTGTCTTGCATGCACAAATCCCTGGGTTCAATCCCCAGCATAAATAAATAAATAAATAAAGTCATGCATATGAAACTGTTTCTCACTATACTTTTGATTTGCATTCCCTAGTTAATGATGTTGAACATTTTTTCATGCGTTTATTGGCCATTGGCACATATTTTTGGAGAAATTTCTATTTTGAACCTTCACCAATTTTCACTTGTGTTGTTCTGTCTTCTTACTGAGCAGCAAGAATTTTATATATTCTGGGTAAGAGACATTTATTAGATGTATAATTTGCAAATATTTTTCCAGTCCTGTTGGAAGGATTGGATATGTTACCAAAAGCATGATGAAAAATGGGAAAAATGAAAATTTAAAAATGAACTTCATCAAAAGGTTTAGAGGAGGCCAGGTGCAGTGGCACACACCTGTAATCCCAGCAGCTCAGGAGGCTAAGGCAGGAGGATCATGAGTTCAAAGCCAGCCTCAGCAAAAGTGAGGTGCTACGCAACTCAGTGAGACTCTGTTTCTAAATAAAATACAAAATAGGGCTGGGGATGTGGCTCAGTGGCCAAGTGTCCCTGAGTTCAATCCCCAGTACACCCCCCAAAAAAATGGTTCAGAGGATAAAAACACAAGCTATAGACAGGGAAAACATTTCAAATCACATCTGTGATTATTATGGTTTGCATGTGAGGTGTCCCCCAAAAGCTCACATGTGAGACAATGCAAAACGGTTCAAAGGAAAAATGATCAGGTTGTAAGAGTCTGAAGC